GCAGCCAAAAACTGTATACCCCAGCTTGTCCTGCATTCTTTCCCCAAATCAGGATTTTTTTTATAAACTCCGCAGACACATTGTTGAAAATCAGTAATCTTACTTAAGGGTGCTTACAAAAAAAGTTTTAGGCAGCTCACACACTGAATTAGTTCAGCACTCCACAATGTACATACAAATTGCTGTGACGTCGGTTGCGGTTTCTGTAAGGCCCCCACCCCCAATCCCTGTCCTCCCTCCCCTACCCCCGGCCCTTTGCCTTCTCTTCTTTGTGAGAGAGAGTTGTTCTAAAGAGCACTCCCTCATGCGTTATAATTTTATTGGTCAACCTATTATTCAGCTGAAGGTTGACCTTTCCAAGTGGCTTCAGTTCCAGGTCCAAAGGATGTCTTGAGGTGACAGTCACAGGGGAGCCTCTGATCTCTACCTGTCCAGTACATTTAGTCTTTGTCAGGAACTTGGGTTTTCTTGTACATTTGTTTCCCATTCTAACGGACCTTCTCCTTGTCGCTGCTCACAGAGGTGTGTAGTGGGAGCCAGGCACCACCTAGGACCTGGGTCTTCTGGTCTCAGGCTCAAGGAGGCTGTGGTCTGTGTGAGCCATCAGTCCTGCTGCTTCGAGTCTGGTTTCTTTTGCTTGCCTTTGCTCCACACAGGAACAAGGCAGTTTGGTCTCTCAAGCGTCTAGGACCCCCGCTGGACCTCCCCAAACTCGAATGTAGAATATGAGCTTCAGGAGCAGTTCTGTCAAGTGGCTTACATGAGAGGACTTCGAGGTTTATAAAAAATGGACTTAAATGATAATGGAATTCTTCCACAAAGTTTGTGAAGACCTCTCCCTCAGATGTCTCCGAAGATTATGTCCTTTAGCCTTCAAGTCTGGTAACTCAGCCCCACGAGATGTTTGGGAATATCTAAAAGGTTTCCATTAACTGGGCCCCCTTATGTGTTCTCTTATGTATACATGCCATACATACCACTACCTCCAACTAAGGAGTCCCGGTGGCACGATGGGTTAGGCATTGGGACTGCTAACAGGATTGGAGGTTCAAACCCACCAGGCATCCCTTAGGACAAAGATGAGGCAGTCTCAGAAACCCGGTATAGGGTTGCTGTGAATTGAAATCAATTAGATGGTAATGTTTGGTTTGGGTTTATATCTATTTGTGCATGTGCACGTCTTTGTCTATCTTGCCCTCCCACACTTACATAGCATTTTTATTGAACTCAATCATCACTCAGAAAATGTTGGTCATTACTTGCAGGGGCAGTAAATTATTTAATGTGGCTGTTCCAGCTAAAGTCTCGAACTCCCACCCTCCACCCATGTCCTGCGTGAGTCTGGTAAGGTGGGCGAAGATACTGAAAGGACTCACCTATGAGTAACTGCAGACAGGATTCCCTCAACCGTCATCCAACTGCAGGACGCAGGATTTCATGACCAGCAAGTGCCAGGGGTGGAGCATGTCCTCTGGACCTAAGATCCCTGCACAGTGGACCTCCTGGATCCAGAAGAGGTGGAACATCTGAGGAGCAGCAGCAGAACCAGAGCATGGGGCAGCGTGGTGGACTTCCCACACCAGAGAAAGCAGGACGAGTACTTCTGTGCAGGCCCATCGCAGAGTAGGGCTGCTCTGGGCACTTCATTGAGGTAAGTGGGCTGTGACTCACTGCAGTGCAGCTGAACGCCTTCGGGATGCAGCTTACCGAGGCCGTGCGCCTCAGGCACTTAAGTCAAGGAGCTGGATTCACTGACCCACTTGAGCTGAATGCTTCCGGGTTGAGGCTTACAAAGGAGTGGTATGCCCCCTTGGACATATATTAGCAGTCCTGAAAGAACATGCCTTGATAAACTACTCTGTCCTGTGGGGAGAAGTCAGACACTTGCTGCCAGACTGCTGTCTCATCCCACAGCAGGGCTGGGCCTTCTCCCTGCTGCTGGAGACAATAGACTACCTCTCTCTGGAACCTGGGGCCATTAGTTTGGTTCCAGAGGGCGGAGTTCGCACCCTACTGATAATGGTTCCCATGGAGACCCAGAGACCACCCTCTCATTGCTGTGTAGCCTATAGTGCAACCCCTCCCTGTGATGTATGTCTCTACCTGTAATTAGTGGGCTGGCTTGTCCCCAAAAGGTATATAGGTGTGAGTCAGCAGAACCTCTCCGACTCTGACCCTGAGCTCCTTGCTGCTCACTCCCCGCTCCCTTGTTCCCTTTCCCTCCTTCCCTTCCCCCTCTCCACGTGGACCACCAAGCTGGGCTGAGGTGAGCAATGTTGCTATGTATCATGCCTGACTGTATTATTGTATTATCTCTCATGCTCTCGATGACTTTAATATAATACTTATATATCTCAACCGTACAATTGTGCATTACTGAACCCAGAAGTAGTATTACTGAACTCGTAGGAGTAATCAGTGGGTGAGGGCTGGTTCCCTCCACCTCCTCAGCTCTATATTTTATTTAATACTACACTGTCCCAAGCATTTCTCCCTGGCATCACAATTTGTTAACCTCCTTAATAAACCCTTTCATCATGAATTTTGTCTGGGTTCTGTGTAGCCACTGCAAGGGCTATTAGATCCTATAGAGAGCACTAGTGAAGAAAACACATTACTCTTGTTTTAGAATTGGGGGTGTTACAGCATTTACCCTCCAAAACCCACCGGATTCCAACTCCTCTCAAAGAACTTCACTGCCACTGAGTTGATTCTGACTCACAGCGATCCTACATAGGGTTTCGGAGGCTGTAAATCTACAGGGGCGCACAGCCTCATCTTTCTCCCTTGGAGTGGCTGGGTTCAAACTGCTGACCTTGCAGCCAGCACAGCCCAATGCATCTCCCCCACCCTCACGTGTCATTTATCTGGGGCTTGTGCTGACTTCTCCATGACGTGAATGGCCTTTCCCGGCACCAGAATTAACAAGCCCCTGCACTGCTCTCAGTTAAAAAGCAGACAAAACGAAAATTAGATATAGGAGTACAGGTAGTCCCCAACTTATGCCAAGGGTCCACTCCCAAGACTCCATCATAAGCTGAATACCTCACTGTTAGTTTTCATCAGGATTGCTTTATTAGTCTCTTCATATAAACAAACCTTGTCACTAAATCCATCATTAAACCAGGGACACACTACAGTATGTGTAATTACCCTAATCATTAAAACAAACTACCAATCTCTGAAAATAGGTATGTGGTCAATCTCTGGATTGACCAAATGCTGATGGTTACTGGTGGTATGAGAAATAAACAATTTTTAACAAATGCTTCATTTAACATGGATGCATTAGCATAGTCATCCTTTACAATTGAAACTGAAGCTTATTTTATGTATTATTCCAAGGCACTTTTCCCAGTGCCTTGAGAAGGAGCTGACCTCAGGAAAGAGAACAGCCGGAAGGGGAGGTGGAGGTAGGAAGAGAAGGGTAGGAAGGCAGCAGCTGTTTCAAGTGTTCCCGTCTCTGCTCCTGGGAGGAAAACAAGGAGTCACCTCAGTAAGCCTGGTTTGAAAGAGCCAGTTAAAGGGAAGGCTTGAGCAGGAAGAGCCAGGATCCCAGCAGAAAAGGAGTTCCCAGAAACAGGGGAGAAGCCACGGAGGGGAGTGGGAAGAGGGACACAGAGATCATCTTCAATGAGCTACAGGGCAGCAGCATCCGGGGCAGGCAGGTCCATCTCCCAAGAACCCTGGTGGTGAAATGAAGGCAAGAGCTTGGGCACATGGGCAGGTGAAGGGGAGAAACAGCACGGGTCAGGAGGGGAGTACTGGTGCATCATGGTTCTGGCAGTTTCCAAGGAAGGGCTCCAGTGTGGGCTGTGGGCCTATGGCCCTAGGTGGGGTGTTTGGTGCCTTGCTGTGCACACATGGAGGACAAGGGCAGCCAATAGCACTCTGTGCCAGGTGAGGTGCTGTTTTAACTAGCTTCTCTCGTTGGGATGTAGGTAACACCGTGGCGATGTTTTCTGGGAGGAAACTGATCAGACATTGATTCTCCGAGTCCGAGTCCCATGCTAATGGTCAGAACTCACACTTGGTTGGTCTGGTTCCTGAGGCCTGGCTCTTCTAGCCTAGGCCACACTACCTACCCACTGTCCACTACACTCATTGGTTGTTTAAAGCACCAGGAACTATAGCTATTTAGATATACACTGTCTTACCTAAGAACTACCATGGTGCAGTGGGTACACAGTGGGCTGCTAACTACAAGATCAGCAAGTCCACCAGCTACTCACAGGTTACGGGGAGAATCAGCCAGGGATCACTCAAGAGAGGGGAGTGCTGATGAAGATGAAGCTGTCTGCTCCCATACAAATCATAGCCTTGGACACCCTGGGGGACAGTTCTAGTCATCTATAGCCAAACTGACCGCCACTGAGTGGATTCTGACTCACAGTGACCCGATAGGGCAGGGTAGAACTGCCCCTATAGGTTGCCAAGGCTATACATTTTATGGGAGTAGAAAGCTTTCTCCCTTGGAACTGCTGGTGGTTTCAGACCTAAGACCTTTTGGTTAACCGCCCAATGAATAACCACACCACCACCAGGGTTCCCTGACAAACTAAATCAGACTGATTTGATGGCAGTGGGCTGGCTATCTCATCTATGCTTCACAACATATATGTTGTATATTAGTATATTACATACTAATATATGTATTAGTTCTGATTTTCAGATAAGAAAATACTGATGGAAGTTAATTTGCCATGGACACTCAGCGGTTGGTGTCAGAACTGGGATTTCACACAGTGTTTCTGAATCCAGAGCATGTTATCTCTATCCACTACCTCTACTGTCCCCACTCAGAGGCTGTCTTTGGTCACTTGGGTGACAAGAAATCCCAAGCCTGGGTCCTTATACACTCACCCAATCTCCTACTCTGCTTACTCTTCCCCCATTGACCAGTCCACATTTCTTACTGAGCGAAGGGCAGTGATGATGACCAGACAGGGGCTGACCTTCCCCTCCTCCGGAAGTCTCCAGTGAACATGACCACACCGAAGAAGCATCTTAATTTTTATTAACGTTGAATTATTAAAAACAAGCATCCATACCAGTGTGGGTAGTGGGGAGCAGGACAGGGTCAGGGACAGGGACAGGGACAGGGGCCAGGGCAAGGCAGAGGAGGAGGAAGGAATTCTGTCTTATTGGTAATAAAGCTCCAAGTTCATCCCATCATGGATTTCATCTGAGGTGAAGGTGTTAAGGAATCCTCTCCTGGGCTCCATACCCACCCCACCCCTTTCATCTATTCCCAGCTGGGTCCAGGATGAAGGCCCAGCCCAGGGCTAAGAAAGCCACTGTCTTTGACTGGCCTGTTTTGATTTGGGGCAGAATCCAAAACATGCTCCAATGCTTTGCACATCAAGCCTGCCTGAGTCCCGGCGACCCCCCTCCCCCCGTCACCGCTCATGTTTACCAAACCCAGCTCAACTCCAACACCTCCCCTTCCCCCAAACCATTTACACGCTCCTAGTGCTCAGCATGTGCCATATATTAACTTAAACACCCTCTTTCAGACGCTGGTATTTAACAACGGGCAAAGGGGGCAAGGGTAGGCAGACTCATCCTCATGACACCCCACAAAGGATACAGTCACCCAGACACACGTGGTCCTTAAAGATGGTGTACCTATGGAATAAAGACCTATTTAAAGAGGGGTCCAACCGGTCTTTGCGGAGGGAGAGGAAGCCTTGCCAAAGAAATGGTCCCCCGCAGCACTCCCCAACCCACACCTTCTGGCCCCTAGCTCTACCCCTGCACTCACCACTTCTTAAGGACGATCTTGTTCCAACGGGTGCCAGTTTGGGCTGCGATCAGCTTCTTAAGATCCCCGATGGTGTCATCCGTGCTGGGCGCAGGGGCGTTAAGGAAAACGCAAGGGAAGGGGCATTCCAAGGCTGAAAGCGCTTTGCCAAGACCCCATCCTCCCGACGCCCTACGGGGGTGGGGGTGGTGTGTGTGTTCCTTAAAACCTCCCCACGACACCGACCGAGCGCCTGCGCTCTCAGGGGACACTGTCCCGCGGCTGCCAAAGGATACTTGCACTTGACGCGGACCTTCTTCCCCAAACGGTCGTTGCAAACCACCTCGATCATCCTCGCTGGAGCTACACGGGCCGGGAGAAGGGAGGCGGTGGGGTCACGAGTTCAGGGATATCCCAGACCTCGACGTCGCCAGCCTCTATCTCCCAGGTCCTCAAGCCCCTCAGCCACTGGGGCTTCCTCTCACCCCCTCCCTAGTGCCTGCCCTAAACCCGGCCTCCCGCCATCGCGTCTCCGCCCCGACTCGCCACAACGTCCGACTTCAGGGTTCTCCGGCTCCGGCCTCGCCTCCCGCAGGCACTGCGACACTCCGCGGCCGAGAGCCGTCGGTCCTCCCCGCCCCGGACCCCTCCATTGGCCCCCTCACCTCGAATCCCCTCCAAGTTACCAACGCCACAACCTTCCCGGCAGGAACACTAAGCCCGGATGCGGCCGTCGCGCTGAACCGGAAGCGGAAGTGCGCGTCTGTAGCCCCGCCCCTCACCTCGACGCAGCGGCGTGGGGGCGTTCCTTCCGGGCCGGGCCCTGGCTCGCGCTTCTCAGTCGCGGTCGTGGGGTCCCGAGTCCGCCCTGGGGGACCCCTGAAATCGGCGCATGAGCAGAGCGGGGTCCAGGCCCGTGAGGAAGGGGCCTAGAGGCGCCTTCGCTGTGGACGAACGTCATCAGTCGATGGGGGAAACGCGAGGGCCCAAGAAACATCCCCGGAGGCCCTGCCGTTCCTGAGCCCGACGAAGCCTCGCGCTGCAGTTTCGGGCCTACAAGGACCAGGGCATCCCGTCCAGCCCCCGGCTTTCCTTCAGGGCTGGGCTCGGACGTGAATTGTTCACACCTCCCTCCCGACTAGGCGGCTGCCTCTCCCTTCCCGCCCCCTGGGACGCCTGGGATGCAGATGACAGTTACGTAGCCCCCACGACCCTGGTCTTCTAGCCGCAATTTTGGGACCGGAGTGCAGGTTGCATACCTGGGCCAACTGCCAGTCACCCAACTGCCATGGCGGCCGCAAGGAGGCCTGGTCCAGATTTTTTTAAGAGTGGTTATTCTTGCCCAATGGGAAGCATTCTGTGCCTGATCCTAGTCTTCACTTTGACCCCAAAGCACCCCTTAGACTGGTTCTGTGGCCGTGGCCCTACCAGTCAACCAACCTGTCAGTGGGATTGTTGAGCCGTTCTTCCTCAGCTGGTAGAATGCTTCCAGTTTGGTGAACCCACTGGATTCCCTGGTGGTGGTGTGGTTACAAATTGAACTGCGATCGATCCACATGGGCAGTTTGAAACAGAGGTAGAGACGGAGACAGAACGAAGACAGAATTCAACCGGGAATATGAAGTTAAGAAAGGTTTTATCAAGGCAAGGAAAAACTCCTGGGCGAATTCCGCAACCTAATGAGCTAGGTTAAGGAAGTTGCAGCTCAGTGGTGAGGCGGTGTGACGTGTATAGGGGCCCGAGTCAAGAAAGTATGCGCTGATGAGAGGAAGGGAGGTTTTTAGTGCTGCAGCTGCAGGTCTGAGTCAGAATGTGGTCTGTGAGAAATCTTGTTTTCTCAGACCCATTTCCTGGAATACTGGGGGAAGGAGTTGCACAGACCCTGCCTGGAGAGATAAGCTCCTTGGAATGCTGGGGGCAGGGATTGCACAGTCCAGCTGGTCATCGGTCTTCCTGAGAGGCAGAGGATGGGGGGCTGCCTAGTCTGGACCCGGCCCAAACATCAATCACCAGCTGCAGCTCCTTTGGAGAAAGACTGGGCTTTCTACTGCTCAAAATACATAGTCTTGGAAACCCAACTTGAGTCAGCATTGACTTGGTGGCAGTCAAGTTTTGTTGTGTTTTATTTTATTTTAAAATTTTTTTGGTGAGCCTGTAGGCTTTACTGAAAAGGGGCTAGCATTTCGGATCCACCTGAAATCACTTCCTCAAACTAGAATGTGAGATGATGGATGGTTTGGGGGCAGGAGAGGGGCCTGCCTACCATAGGGAGTTGACTTAAGTGCCACACAGAAAAAGGGCTCCGGGGATTACCTGCTTCCGAACTTGGATCCTTTGTCCTTCGAACCCGTGCAGAGGCTCTCTGAGTTGGCAGAGGTCTGGAGTGACTATGAAAAGCTCAGGCTGGAAACTTAAGCTTTGGATCCAGATGGATGAGTCAAATCCCAACCTCAAACCGTAATATTAAGCATGGTGTGAGGCAAGACACTTCCCATTCCTGAATCTTATTTCCCTCCTCAATGGAAAAAGAATAGCAGTGCCTTATAGTCCCCTCAGAGGAGCCCTGGTGGCAGAGGGGTTACCAGTTAGGCTGCTAACTGTAAAGTCAGTAGTTCAAATCTACCATGGGAGAAAGACTTGACTTTCTACTCCCATAAAGAGTTACAGTGTCTGAAATTCACCCTGTCCTCTAGTGTTGCTAGGAATTGGCATCAACTCAGTGGCGGTGAATGAGTAATACTTGGCCTTTTGTATAAATGTTGCCAGATCCTGCACTACCCTTACAGTCTCTGATGTTTGAGCCCCTGTTGCAGCCACGGCTAATTGAGGACCTTTCTCTTTTTCACTGACCCGCTACCGCTACCGAGCATCATGTCCTTCTCCAGGGACTGGCTCCTCCTCATAGTATGCTCATGGTATGTGAGATGAACTTTCCATCGCTTTTTCAAAGGAGCTTTCTGCCTCTCCTGCTTCCAAGACAGATTTGTTTGTTCTTCTGATGTGCAATATATTTCATCAACATTATTGTCAAAGCCCCTGGCGCAGCCCAGCTCTTAAGAGTTTGGAGTAGAACAGGTTAGGGCAGGCGTCGTTAAACTACGGCCCGCGGGGCACATGTGGCCTGCCGAGGACATTTATCCGGCCCGCCGGGGGTTTTTGCCCGTTTGTTTTTTCACTTCAAAATAAGATATGTGCAGTGTGCATAGGAATTTGTTCATAGTTTTTTTTTAAACTATAGTCCGGCCCTCCAACAGGTCTGAGGGACAGTGAACTGGCCCCCTTTTTAAAAAGCTTGAGGACCCCTAGGTTAGGGCGAGGGAGGCTAGGAAGGTCAATGGTGACCTGAGGAGACTCATTGCCTGAGGGAGATGGCAGGAGCACATTTTTATATTTACACAGAAATACTGGGTCATACCTATTGTTGAGGATGGACACTCCTAAATGGTGGGATTGCAGAATCCCATTTTCCTCGTTGGTCCTTTGTGATGTAGCCCTGGATTTCCCAAATGGAATATTTGTTATTTCTGTTACGGGGGTAAAAGTAAATGTTAGGTTTTTAATGTATTTTTAAAAGTGTCTTCATCTCGCAATGCAAGGATGTTGTTGTTGAGTGCTGTCGAGCCGGTTCTGACTCCTGGTGACCCTATGTACAGCAGAAAGGAACACCCCCAGGCCTCTGCCAGCCTCATGATTGTTGTGTTTGAGCCCACTCGTATGCCACAGTGTCAGTCCATCTTGTCGAGGGTCTTCCTCTTTTTCCGCTACCCTTCCACTTGACTGAGCATGAGGTCCTTTTCCGGGGACTGATCTCTCCAGATGACATGTCCACAGTATAGGAGATGAAGTCTCACCATCTTTGCTTCAAGGCGCATTCTGACTGTACGTCTCCCAAGGCAGATTCACTGGTTCTTCCGGTAGTCACAGTACTTCCAGTAGTCTTCACCAGCACATCACTTCCAGAGTCTTCCTTATTCCTGTTTTTTTTTAAATGCAAGAATCACTGGATTGCATTTCACAGATGCTGCAAAGTTTACACATGGGAAGTGCCAGAAGAAGCCAGCTCCTAGCACAATCACTACGGGTTCAGTAGGCGCAATTGTACAGCGATAATAAGTAAATATTATAGTAAAGTTATAGAGAGCAAGAGATATATAGAAATAAATGGAGTGAGACATATTACATGGTAGCATTGCTCACCTCAGCCCCGCTTGGTAATCCACGTGGAGAGAGGGGGAAAGGAAGGAGGGCAAGGGAACAAGGGAGAGGGGGAAGAGAGGGGAGTGAGCAGCAAGGAGGTCAGAGTTAGAGAGCTATATATTGCTGACCCATTGCCTATATACCTTTTGGGGGCATGCCAGCCCACTAGTTACAGGTTGAGACATACATCACAGGGAGGAGCTGCACTATAGGTTACACAGCAATGAGAGTGGTCTAGGGGGTGGTCTCTGTGGTATCAGTAGGGTGCAAACCCCTCCTACAGGAGCCTGTCCATTGTCCCCAGAGGCAGGGAGCAGGCCCGCCTGTGGTGGGATGAGACAGCAGTCTGGCAACTGATTGCCTTCAGGGGAGGGAATGCCTGCGCATCTGACCTCCCCCCACAGGGAAGTTTGTGGCAGCCCTGTGTGGAGCAAGTCGACCGGCACCATTTTCCCAACAGCGTGGGCTCACTTTGGGTCAGTGTCACAAAACAAGATGACAAGATGTCAAAACCAACAATGTTGGTCACAAAACAAGAACTTCCAACTTCTGCACAGGGCTATTACACACCGAAGTTATAGGCACCGGAAATCAAAGCGTTCATTTGACTCAAGCTATCGAGTTACTCATTTATTGCAGTGGCCTGGAACGCAGTGACCGCGGTGAGTTGGATACAGGATCAGGCGCTGTTGCGTTCAGTTGCACGTAGGGTCGCTGTGAGTTGTAACAGATTCGATGACACCTAACAACTGCTTGACTAAGCATGATGTCCTTTTCCAGGGACTGGTTGCTGTTAGGTGCTTTTGAACTGGTTCCGTCCCATAGCAACCCCGCGCACAACAATGAAACACTGCCCGGTCCTGCACCAGCCTTACGATTGTTCCTAGGCCTGAGCCCATTGTTTCAGCGACTGTGTCAATCCAGGGACTGTTCTTTACAAATTATTACATATCCAACGTCCTGGAGATAAAGTCTCACCATCCTTGCTTCTAAGGAGAATTCTGGCCATACTCCTTCCTTTGTTCTTCTGGCAGTCCATGGTACGTCCAACATTGCTTCACCCACGCTGTCATTCAAATGCACCCATTCACTTGTCTCATATGCATTTAAAAGTTGGACAGTGAACAAGCATCCTTGTCTCATATGCATTTAACAGTTGGGCAGTGAATACTGTCCAACTGTTAAGTGCATATGAGATGCTTAAAAACACCATGGCTTGGGTTAGGTGCACCTTGCTTGCTTGATTTCTAGACTGCTGCTTCTACAAGCATTAATTGTGCATCGAGGCAAAACAAAATCTTTGACCATTTGAATCTTTTCTCCATTTCGCCTGGTGTTGTCTCTTGGTCCAGTTGTCGGTATTTTCCGTTTCTTTATACTGAGCTGCAATGTAGACTGTATGCTGCATGCAGGCTTTGATTTTCACCAGCAAGTGCTTCAAGTCCTCCTTGCTTTTATTTATTTATTTTTATTTTAGAGCATTTTATTAGGGGCACATACAACTCTTATCACAATCCATCCATACATCAATTGTGTAATGCACATTTACACATTCATTGCCCTTATCATTCTCA